CTATGTGCCATTGCAACGTAATTTTATTTAAAATGACAAATAAAGTCTAAGTTAAACTCCCCCTTTTTAAATGGTAATGGTTTATTCCACCGCTGGGTGGCAGTATGCGCTGAGAGGATGCGCAGTTCGTTTTCCGGTCTCGTATAGACGAAGAGGAAATCCCATCATGGTTTGACCCAAACACTGAACAAATGCCTCTGAACTGTCCTAACATTGACATCAACGTAACATGTGAGCGACAACTCTTAATATTATAGCGTTTTGTGTTGCTGTCGTCTGTGGAAATGCAGTTGCAGTAACGCTCGTCGACGGTTTCACAGGATGCTGTTCACTCAGAGGTGTTTTCTGCTCAGACACACTCCCGGTAAACTCCGGCTGAGAGCCGCCGGTGCAAGGTGCTGCTCCACGGTTCACGGTGAAGTGAGGGTCCGGTTTGCACCTAGTCCGACAGGTAACGTCCTCCACCAAAATGTATAGAGTCAGAATGAGCTGTAAGTTAACTGTGGGCTCAATGTTACTGTGCTGTGTCCTCTGTTTACTACACGTTTCCATTCATAGATCAACAAATCAAACACACCTCAGGACATTTTCTGATCCAGTCCTTGATTGGAAATATGAGTTTTGGTGCTCCACTGATATGTGCTGCACACAGTAATCCAGGGTGTATGTCACTAAAACACATTTCAACCCAGATAAAATCACACAGGTTTATTTATTAATTTAACTGTCTCTGGATGACACCTCTGTTCCAAAAGCCTTGTGTAAAACATGGAGCACATATTGGCATTTTAGTGCATAGACCTGACTGGAACTGGTCTATTCAGACACCCTCCTTCAACAGGCAGCCCTTGAAGTCTGTGTCTGTATTATACAGCACTGAGTGTGGGTGCAGCTGTCGATACAGTAGGAAAAGTGCAAATAATGGCTGAATTCCACTTCGTTTTCAAGGTCCTGGTTCTGTGCATGCTGCCTCACTGTCACCATGTCATGGCTTACTGGGACACTAGTAGAACAGCGCCATCATTAATGTTATTAGTGACACCTGTGCTTTTCTCTTTATTAATATTTTCCGTTGTGCATCTTAAAAACAATCTAAAGAGGTTTTTTTTTTTTGCTTATTCAGCAGTCCGATGTTCTGACAGTATAATGTTCTGTGCGGCAGGTTTCTTGCACCTCGGAGGCCTTCGAACTGCTCTCTACAATTACATATTTGCCAAGAAGTATGGAGGCTCGTTCGTCCTGCGACTGGAGGACACTGATCAGAGCAGGCTGGTACCAGGAGCTGCAGAGTCCATAGAGGACATGCTGGAGTGGGCCGGTAAGAAACACTGAACTAAATGACTATCTTAATGAAATGTTATGTTTCAATGGTGTATTATGTCCCCATTGTCTTAGAAAGTTACCTAAGCTCACTTTCACCTCCAGGTGTACCTCCAGATGAGAGTCCTCGTCGAGGTGGGCCGGTGGGTCCGTACCTGCAGTCTCAGAGACTAGACCTCTACGGTCAGACAGCCCAGCAGCTTGTCGAGAGCAATCACGCCTACTACTGTTTCTGCAGCACTCAGAGACTTAACCTGCTCAAGAAAGAGGCCTTAAGGATGGGACAGACGCCTAGGTGGCTAGATAACATGAATACACACGCAGCACTCATACATACTCATCATATTCTCACAAGCTTGAAGATAACGTACAACCAGGACATCAGGATGTTTTTATGTCAGATTTAATGACTTAACTGTTTCCCCTCTCTCTCTCCCAGGTACGACAACAGGTGTCGTCACCTTCAGCCTAAGCAGGTGCAGGAAAAACTGGCGCAAGAAGTCCCGCGTGTGATCAGGTTTCGCCTGGAAGAAGGTGTCGAGCCTTTTCAGGATCTGATCTTTGGATGGAGTCATCACGAGGTGGCCAAGGTCAGGTTTGTAGTTTCACTCTGTTCACTGGGTTTCACACTAAATGATGTAGAGTAGAACCCGACCGATGCCAATTTTAGAGTGGAAAAATTCACCGTTTACCTATATGGCAGCTGATATAGGGAATTTTTGAGCTGGGATGAAAATAAACTGATTTTGCACCAATATGGCTAAGCAATTCTTCAACAAATAACTCTCTTTAACATGTTAAATAATTTAAAATATAGTCTACATTGTCAACCAATTCTAGAAATGAACACTGAGAAAATAAAGAATAAATTAAAATAAAATGAATGAACTGTAAAAACATCAGTACTGTAAAAACTACAA